CCTGATCATTTATGTATACATTTGTCTATATCTATCTCGATTCGTTTTGGCTGTTACAAACAACCGTTATGTGAACAAAATTAATATACCCTTGTGCACAAGTGCGCTCGGGTATAAAAAATTAAGCGACACAGAAATTTCACAATCATACGAATGTAGATACAGTCATTAGCCGAATAATATTATGGGTGAATTCAGCCAACTTCGCGATGTGTAAAAGGTTAGAACACAACAACATATTTTTGATATTTACCATCTCATACATAATATTCACACTCTTAATACACTTTTTATGTTTGCAGGCATTGTTCAAAGATTCCGGTGGAAAAAATAGCAAAATCATTTATTGATGCTCTCAATAACTACAACAAACCATTGTAGCCATCCATACATCGGATGCTACAACGCTCATTTTCATCTCTACGCAGATAGTGATAGAACTTTTTAGAAAAGTATCGATACTAGTACTCATATAGAATACCCTAAAGAAGGATCGATGCCAGTACTCGCATTTGCAAAAAAGTATCGATAATAGTCGTACTTTCAAGTATTTTTATATCAAACGCGAAAAACAAACAAAAATCTGATTTGTAAATTAAATGGAAACTGCTTTAAATAGTTGGAATATGATCTAGCAAGCACTTCAACAATAATTTTTTAAATAAACTTGCAGTAAGTTTACTATTACAAGTGCAAAGTAATAGTTTACAGCAAAGAGCTATAAGTTTTTAAGATCAAATATTCTATAATGTTTAACGCGTATATTTATAAACCACTTTACTTTTAAAATGAGATGAAAAACCGAAAATGAGAAACAAATGAGGTGAAGTCCATTCTCTAAAGGAAATATCGCACGTTTAATAATATAGAGATGTAACTCAAAATTTACGTTTTTGGAGATATCGTTATGCAATTAATAAGCTTGATGAGTAGAATATGTTCAGTCTAACAGATAACCAAACTTCCCAAATATGGCGAAGATATGTGTTTTTCCATCTGTCTTTTTGTATACCAACTGTATGAATTGATAAAACTTTGATTGCGTTTTCCCACGAAATTAAAATTTTGAAATACTTCGTTATATTACACTATGCGACAGTCAAAATCGGGATGGGATGAAACCAACGGGAAATGTTATATCGGTCAAAAACAAGTTATACGTGTCCCGGCGTTTCGCTGGGTCACGTCTAGGAATCGAGATATATATATAACTATCATATAGGGGAAATTGTCACCTTTGGTGGTCTTTTTTTGACATAACTCGAGAACCACTAGTCCGATTTTGCTCAAACAAATTTAAAAAAATTAAAAATTACAATTCCTTTAATCTGTTCATATAACGTTTTTCTATATAATCAACTATATGATAGTTATATATATATCTCGATTCCTAGACGTGACCCAGCGAAACGCCGGGACACGTATAACTTCTTTTTTATCGATATAACTTTCCCCGGTAGTTTGAACCCTTCCCGATCACTGACCCCTACCATTTGTCTCACAGTGTTATTAAACGTGCGATATAATCTCTCTTTCATAAAGGAATGGGTTGGATTCCGAATAAACAACGAGGGTAGAATACATTCGTTAACGGACGATCTGATATGCCGGAGAATAGCCAAGTTATCGTGTCGAAGACCATCCTCTTACCCATTCGTTATAGAAGGTGAAGCAAGAGATTCGTTATCCAATTATTTAAGAATTTTTAACCAAGCCCAATGTTGAAATGACCGCTATCCCTTCTTGTACGGTGTGTAAAAATTTCATAGTTGTACCGATTACCAGTAGCCCATGAGAACAAAATATGTATTAATTTTTACTATGGGAGTACCTATATGTAAGTTCAAACCTTTCAAGCCGTTTTTCTAGATTTTTTTTGGGCTAAGACATTTTTAAAGCGTTATGTTCCTTTTCACGACATTCGCATTGGATATCGAAGATAATTTTCGAATGTTCGCCACATTGTTTATTGTGTAATTTTCAAACATTTTGTAATTGAAATAGCGAAATTTTTTATATGAATTTTAATTTTTTTTTACTTAAAAAAAGTTTTAAAAACTTCGATATTTTTTGGTATTCGCGATACTTACTCAGTACTTGTCAAAAAGTATCGAGTTGCCGATACTACTCAGTACTCATGGTGGTTATTATGGAAAATTATTGTTGGTGAAATAATGAGCATAAATAAGCAGATATGTATTTCTCGGCGAGAATGACAAATCAAAAACATGACGTCTTTGACCGCATATGCACATACATACATATGTATATACAAATGTAAATGCGTACATTTTCACGTACTTAGCAAACCATAAGACGTCTTTAAACTCAAAATAGGAGTGTTAACTATAGTGCAGTGGGCACTCATAATTAATTATTTATTCTACATCACTTACTTCCCTCTTACACAATCAACAAATGCAGGCTAATCAATTATTTTCCTAAAGATAACCATAAGCTTTACACTTTAGGGCTATCATTTAAGAAACAACCTACTTGTTTACTATACAATCCTTCCAACATTTATAATAAATGTGTAATAACATAAACGATTAAAATTGCGTCCTTGACGCATGCGCCACACTTACATTTCCAAATCCTGAAAGGTTTTATCACAAACTTCACAACGTATATCGAAACCGTTTTCGTCGTCGGACAAATCAATACCATCCAAATGTTCGCCGAACGAACGCTGCTTGTTATATTCGTCGTCGCCGGTGGTATTGCCGCCACTATAGAGAGATCCTAAAAGACACAGAAAAAAATAAAAATATGTAGAATGAAACAGTTAGCTGAGTATTGCAATAAATAAAATATATGTATGTATGTATTACTATAAAAAAATAGAAATGAAGATAAATTAAAAAACTTCAACAGATATGTTTCAAGTACAATGCACAATAACTACATTCATGTACTTGAGTATAATGTCTTGGGCCCTGTAGCGTGCGCGCGCAACGCTTACGGCAAGTGATTTATGAGCGCAACAGCAGCACAATGCAACTAACCGCTTTCGCTGCCACTGTTGCTGCCGTCCCTGCTGCGGCGGGGCATCTTTGTGCTAACTAATAACATCAACAAAAACGCAGCTCCAGTTGCCCAACACGATTGTGGCATAATTTTGTGGCCGCGTACATGCTGCTGGCGCAACTAGTGGCAACCACAACCGCAGGAAATTACCAGTTGCAGCAGTAATTTTGGGCTCATCAAAGGTCAATTGACCAGCATGGAGGACGCCCACTGACGATGTTGGCGCGAAAAAAGGCAGCAAGTTGCCACCAAATAAATGGCTACTACCCACCAACTAACAACTCGATCCAGATATACATAGATGTATACAAGTAGATACTTGCCGCCAAAACCTAAGACTATGCACATATGTACCTAGAAGTATACACAAATTTATGTAAGTTTGTAAGTGTGTTAAGAAAACAATGAGGCTGTGACGTGGGTGAGTTCGGTGCGCAACTTAGTTTGACCATTTTTGGCGGTTGGCAGCTTGCAGCTGGTGCAATGGCTGCGCTACTTTTAATGAAAATCCGATAAAATCAACGGACTGACCCAACACTAACAGTAGGCATCATTACTATTGTTATTACCTTTTTGTTTGGCATAATAGGATGGTTTTTAATTTTAATGTGGCAGCGATGGGCCGTACCGCTGATGATATTGTTTTGATATCTCTACATATTATTCTTGAGGCATAAACAAAAAAAATGAAGTTTTAGGAAAACTAAGAATTTGTGATCTTTATGCGGTGAAACGTATTTGGCTTCGATGAAGCAAAATTTATTTCTGGTGTTAACATGATAAATGGTAAATGTTTCCGACATTTTTTTGTTTTACTTCATGGCATCATTTGAAAAACTATATACATACATACAAATGTATGTATGCAAGCAACTACCTACTTGAACATACGTATGTATATACATATACATATGAGTAGTCCACTTGCAAACAGCGTTATGTGATTTTATAATAGTAAGCCATAAATTAAAAAAAACGTCTACAACAACAAGTAACATCCAAATTGTATATTTCTTTTTATTATCTGAAAATTTGGATAAATAAGAGCCTAATAACATTAAAACACAAAATCGCAGTGTGGCAGTTTTTGCAAATTTTATATATAGAAATTAAATATAGCGAGTTTTGAAACAGTAAGTTTTATATAGCCAGCTTTTTTAAGCTTTTCACGTTCTCTCTTCCATGAAACTACCACTTTTTTTTGCAGATTTCTAAGTTTATCAGAAGATGGTGACATTTTGAACTTGTATAAATACGTACAATAAATATTATAGCGACTTTATATACATACAGTAAGTATTATAGCGACTTTTGCTAGAGTAGCTAACATTTGATGCTATTTTTTTCAGAATATATAAGGATTTTGCACTGTATTGTTAGTGGACATGAAACTACTTTAAATACTGGTACGTTAACCACCAAAAACTAAAAATCGAAAAAAATTTACATAGCGCACTTTGCAAGTGGACTACTCATATGTATAATGATAGCCGTTTGCGTTGCTCGGACTTGGTTCAAAAACTACTGGGGTGGGCTTAGCTCAGTGCTGAGCGTTGCTAACTTTGCACAGCGATGATGCGGGTTCCACTCTTGGTGAAGTATAGACAAAGAAGTCTGCTAAGGAGATGTGGTGATCGGCGATATAGCAGTTATAACTTCTACCGCTTAGACTTTGTTGTTTTTTCCATTTTTCCTAAGAAACAAATCGTGGTGCAAAGCTAAATAACATTGCTAAAAGTAAATACTAGTTTTCGTAGATTATTCCTGCATATCTGGTATCGTTATAGGGGTATAGGTGCTGGGGTCGAGTTATTTAAAGAGCCCATATTGATGATCCGATTTAGTTAATTTTCAGAATATATTTTTATTAGGTTATAAAAACCACTTTTGCAAAAATTAGACCACAGTTATTTATGAGCCAAGTTCATAATGTACATATATAACCTGTATGATAACAGATACTTTGCAAAACATGGTGACGATAGATGGCGCTGGAGTCGAAACAGAAACCCCGCATTTACATTTTATACGGCTTTCCCACGGCATCCCAATTACGTACATATTTCGCTCTCTTATTCGTGATCCGCACTCCAATTACCCTTCCAATTACGTTATTCGCCATACAAAATTTTGAGAGCAATTTACCTCATTTGCTGGTAATTCAGATGCAATTACCATGCGAATTAAGAACAAATCGGCGCCGTCTCTAATTTTTATCGGAAATTTATCGAAACTAGCTCACAAATCAACACTTGCATTTTTTCCGAGTACGAAAAGTTAAGTCTATAAATGTGTGTATCCCTAATTTAATAAGGAAAGCTATAAATTTTTAGGAATAACCTACATTTTGCATCAATTTTGCAGCGAAGAGAAACAAGAACAAATTAAGAATGTGCCCGTGGGAATGGGGTAGTTTGCGATCGTTATTGGGGGAGCGAACAAAATAATTCAGGATGCCGTGGGAAAATGGATTAGATGGCTAAATGAAGGATAGGGCATTTGATGAAATACTTGCAGAGGTCTCGCAGGTGGAAATAAGTTTATCGAAAAAGCCCATAATATTGAAAGGAATTAGTATTCATTATTTAAAAGTGTTCAAAACTTTGTTTGCAGTCATAAACAAAATAGAAAAATCAAATGAAATAAAATAAAAATTAAATTTAAATTAATTAAATAAAATCATTTGTTTTTGTTATTTATGGCCTTATAATAAATGTATTCAACAATTTTATTGAGCTTCAGGCCGTTTTTAATGACTTCTACCAACATGTTAATTATTGCTGTTTTTCCACAAAATTTCTATTAAAAATAAAATAAAATGAACTAAAATAAAATTAAATTAAATTAAAATTAGCTTAAATAAAATAAAATAAAATAAAATAAAATAAAATAAAATAAAATAAAATAAAATAAAATAAAATAAAATAAAATAAAATAAAATAAAATAAAATAAAATAAAATAAAATTAAATAAAATTAAGTGAAATAAATTTAATTAAATGAAATAAAAAACATAAAAAAATTAAATAAAATATTGAAACATGAAATACTGAAATAGAATAGAATACAATAAAGTACGTGTATAATACGTGTATAAATCTGTATATTCATAAAATTTTTTGTTAAATTGCATTTTATGTAAGCATGTGTTAGTCTTTTAATAAACAAAATATTTTGCTAAGGCAAGAAAAATATGCAACTATTTTCCGTTTAAGATTGATTATTTATTAAGAAATATGCAACAACTTAAGAATTTTCAACAAAAACACTTTGTATAATTTTGATCTTAGCCATAAGCAAAAATACAGAATTATGAATTCAGTACGAATGTATATGTATATTTTTTTATTTTAAACGAAACCCCCTTTTAAAAGGAAAAAATACAACGGTTTTTATAAAAGCAAATAAAGAAAAATAGTTATATATATGGACGAAAGTTAAGAAATTAAAAAGTAAAAGAAAACTATTAACAAAATAAAGACAAAATAATTTTTATGGCCGAAATGGGTGAATGTAATGGGTGAAACATTTAAGTATTTTAATTTTACATAGCATACAATAATTTTAACTAAATTCAAGAAAATGTGCATTAATAGGTATGTATATGAAATTCAAGCAATAAAATTGACTAAAAATATCTTAAACAATCTTTTTCACCGCTTTATAGAATGTGCTTACTGCTTTTCACCTTTTATGAAAACACATATATACCCACAAAAATTTCACTTTTCGAATATAAAAACGTATCTTACATCCAAAACATTCTATTAAAATTCTTCACGATTGCTTTTCGAAAAAACTATTTTTTTAAGAAAACAAGCTTTTTCACTTTTTAAATTTGATGATTTTTCATTTCCTCAGGATGCACGCAACCGCTCACTAGACGCGTTGAAGAACAAGTGTGCCATTTAAAGCCGCGCACTCGACTCTTTACCCAAAAACGCGGACGGGCCGGAAGGACTCACAACAGGACTCGCGCTCTGCGACGAAAGTGAATGCGAGCATTTGTAGCAGAAACAGTACAGTACACAGGAATGGAATATAGAATACAAGTATGTAAATGGTGAATCGTGTGCACTCATATGGCACACAACAAAAGCGGCAGCAAAAATAGCAACAACTATAATGGCCAGTAGTTCATTTAAGTCAAAAGTGAATAGATAATTGGCCCGAATAAACAACCCCAGAGCAGCAATCCACTCAACTCACCTTCACCGCATGTACTACGTGCCTAGGTATGTATGTATGTTAATATATTGTGGGTACAAATGAAAGCAAGTGTGCTGACACTTGACCGTCTGTAAAAAAAATGTAAAAAATATTAATAATAAAATAGAATATAGAATGCTGAATGTTGACCAATATAGCACACACACTAACACACGGGCTCAGTGAGCGCCACGCACGCAACACATTTGTGGTGTATAGGTCGGCGCGCTGGTGCTGCCCTACTTGATCCCAAAGGGACCTACTGGCTATCTTAACATCTGAAATTGTTGTTAAAATGTACACAATTCAATCAAATGACGTGTGCGCTGTTCAAAACCTCATCGTAAAGCGAGGTGAACAAGTTAATGCTAGCAGTTAGTCAGTTTAGAGGACTCGACCAGGTTGGAATTGCAGGATATTCTGGTTTATTCTCCGTTTTTATGATCACACGGATGCACAGGTTGCAAATGGAAAAAGCTGCACAGGTGAATTGCTCTAGACGTCCTG